TAAAAAGGACCTAAAATTAATGGGGGTGGTGGTGGTTGTTTTTAAATTTTCAGCAGACTCTACGAGCACAGTCCCAGAGTTGGGGTGGGTGGTAGTGTTTGCTTTGTCTTTGCTTCTTAGAGTAACCATGACTTAAACTAGCAGGGAATACTGGGCATCTCTCCAGATTGGCAATGCTGCTACACATCCTTTCTCTACGTTGCCAGTTCGAATCCCATCTAGCTCAGGTAGTCCTTCCCATTCATGGCTCTGTGTGTATGTATTGTTTCCAATTACAAATGACACTAATTTAGCACCTGAAGAATTAACTATGCACTCCTTTCAGAACAGACCTGCTGAAATGGGGGGACAGTATGGGGTAGTTGAATAAACAGATTTACTCTGCAGAGAGATTAGTCCAGTACGTTTCACTAATCTATGGCGTTGCATGTACTACCCAAGTCCCATGGTGCAGCAATGCACAGGTGTTAGAGGTGAATAAAAACATGCTTTGGAGACAGGAGCTGCAGCTCAGGAGTGCATTGCCCAGCTTCTGGTTTCATAAGGAGGAAAATCACAAATATGGTTTCCTTAGAAACCATGCCCCAGTGACCTTGGCAACACCAACAGCCTGTTGCTATCCTCCAGACGTTAGTCTGCTGATAGTGGCCAAAGTGGCGATGCTAAAGCCAGGTCAGACTTTGCTTTTTCCCACCTATAGGTTGTGGAGTATTTTATAAAAGCAGACGTGTACTGAAGGGGAAATCGAGGCACCGTGAGCTGAAGTGACTTGCTCATGGATACAGGACAAGCCAGTAGCAGAGCTGGGAAAAAAACTCCAGAGTCTTGTATATGCCTCTCATGCCCTATCCATCGGCTCTCTCTGGCTGCCTCCATACAATTGCTGCCGCCTTTGTTTTTCCTGGGCAGCCCTACTGCTCTCATTCCAAGGTGATAAAGCTGGGAGCTCATTTGAGTGCTTGATGGAAATGAATGCCTACATTTTGATTAAACCATTCAGCTCATGGACTGATGCAACCTGCCAGCTGGCTTTTTTTAAAAAATACTTATTTTAGCAGCATTAGCAGATTATCAAGGTTGAATAAATCTGGATGTCTGAGTCAGATGAATTTTCTGGGTTCACCACACACACGTTCCTGTATGCCTGCCAGGGGATGGGACGTTCAACAATTGGTTCTAATGCTATCATGCAAATATGACAGTCTTGACTATTCATTATTGACTTATAAGTGTGTTCCCCAGTCCCTTCGGGGTCGTGGGAGCGCTGCTTGTCACAGGACAGTAGGGTTGCCAGCCCTTCAGGATTGTCCTGGAGTCTCCAGGAATTAAAGATTAAACTTTAATTAAAGATTGTCATGTGATGAAACCTTCCCGACCAGGTCCAATCAAAATTGGCAACCCTATGGGACAGTTGTGTCTATGCTCGCTTAGGGGATAAGATAATCCTGACTGATGGTGACAAGTTCTATGGAATATATCAGGCTAGCTAAGAGAAGAATTGAAACTTACTTTAGGGGAAAACTCCGTATTGTTGTCACTGTTAAGTGTAGACAAAATGTTACCGGTTATTACTCTTCTGGTTAGTAGAGTTGACCTTTTTTTTTTATAGAAATAGTTAATACCAGTAAATGTCCTTATGTGGATACAGTTTTACCAGTATAAGATGTCTTATACCAACAGAGTTATTCCCCTTCCCAAATAGGAATAGCTATGCTGGTATAAATCACCTTTACACCAATATAACTGTGTCCACACTAGGGGTTGTGCTGCTTTAACCATCTACGTATAGCTAAAGCAGTGTGACTTTCTAGGGTAGACAAGCCAAGAGGAGGAAGAAGACTTTAGTGTAGCACTGTGAGAACCAAGGACTAATCAGGGGGAGCTGGTCAGACTTTTAAGTTGACCAGCTGGTATCCACCCCAGGCCCTCAAAGGTTCTGGACCCACATAGCTTGTAGAAAGAAATGTGACTCCATGTATCTTTATAAATTTCATTAAAACCCATCAACCAAAGTAAAAGCAGGGAAACATATAACCTAAAGTTAAGCTAGTATTAATATTAAACTCCAGTTATGAATACAACTATCAACTCAAGGTCAAATTAACAAATTAGTCTTGATGTTGGATTAGAATTAAATCTTCAAATTAATACCCTAAATAATCAATCCTTATAAATTCTAAGATGAAGATGGATGTCCATTTCATTATAAATACTAACTAAAGAATTCTACTAATGTCAATCAAATATATAGCTTGAACGGTTAAATATGTTTAACACTGAAACTGAATTACTATCTAAAGTCTGGACCACAAACTCAGAACCAATTCTAAAGCTTCCTTGTTAGACTTCAGTTCTTGTGCGGTGGCTAACCCATTCCTCCCCTGTCCCAGCAGAGATCTAATACAGGCTTTAATAGAACACTCTTGTTAAGAAGTTTGACAACTCTTCTTTACCAGAAATTACAGCATGCAATCTCCAGCTTCTCAAGACGTTTAAACATAGAATGCACTCTGAATAATTTTATGAGACAATACTTAGATCTGTTTAAACCTGGGGAACATGGACACGGCCACACTTTCACCCCTCAAAATAAAAAAGGGTGGGATGTTGTCCAGTGAATAAAAATAGAACATTTGAGATAATAGGGGTGTTGCAAACTCTTCAGCACTTGCAGTCATCTGCTCTCAGAGTGTCGGGGCTGAATCTGCAGTCAAGTAGCTAGAGGATGATGTTCCACTGGCGCAGCGCTATGTGCTAGCGGGCCTGCTTTGGGTTCAGGGAAAGACTGATCAGAGGCCAGAGTGGCCTATTTGTTGATGATGTGACTTGGTCTCTCCAAGGTGATCAGCCTTGGAGATTCTGGAAGGTTGGTCTTCCTGCAGGTGGCTTGTGGACCCAAACAGCGAGGATTCTCAGCCTTCCCCTTGATTTTTTTTAGTTTGCAATCTTGACTTTCTCAGCCTTGATGCGCTGCCTTCCAGGACCTTTGGACAAATCAGAGATGAGACCTACCTTGGAGCCTTGCAGCCTCGTCCAATCAGATTCAAATTAATTCGTCCTTAATTAGTGTCGCTGTGGAAAAATCCTGCTTAAATCAGCAATAAAAAAAAATTCACTCTTTTGCCTACCACAGAGCCCGTAAGTCTGTAACCATCCTTCTCCCCCACAAAAAATCTGCATAAATGAGATAATGTTTGAGGAAGCTGGCATTGTCTTACAGGGTGAAAGGGCTGAGGATAACTTTATGTCACCAGTTTACAGAAAGTTCAGTATAAAAATAACTAATTGGAAAAACCCCAGCAACAAAACCAGTCACTTGATGTTCATTTGTCAGCAAAAATTCTAACTTATTAGTTTCATCGTGTCTCATTTCTTATTATTCTTGGAAACAAGGCAACTGCGGTAACCTTTCTATTTTGGAACTGAGCTATTGATCAAACAGCTTCCCTGGTGAAAAACGCTATCTAAGAGCTAAGTGGTGTTATTATTATTTCATTATTACCTTCTGAAAGCTACTCTAAAGCTTTAATCATGAGGAAACCTATTTGCAATATAAAACTTTATAAGGTTTATATGTCCATATTAGCTATTCTCCTCAGAACGGAGATAACTCAGCAAGCCTGTTGTAGCTTCTAATGTTAAGAAAGATACCAGCTGGTGTACTATTGCTGTTCAATTATACACACATTTTTAGTAGTAGTATGCAAAATATGTAGAACTTCACACTGTTTCATACCTGGCACGGACTATGCAAGTGGGTAATTGTGCATTTTTTTTTCTTCTGGTTTTGGTTTCTTTCTGAGGCCTGATCTAAAGCTTTGCAGGCATAGCTGTGTCAGTTAGGGGCATGATTTATTTTATTTATTTTGCTGAAATACCCAAAAGCCCTAGCGTAGATGCAGTTCGGTCCTTTTTCTGGGATAGTTTTCATTCAGGGAACTCATATAAGCTATACTGGCAGTAGGACTTGTATGTCAGTATAAACTGCATCTCTACTATGAGGGTTTGATGGTACAGCTATCCTGGTAAACCTTTTAAGTGTAGGCAAGGCCTAAGAATAAAATATGTGCTGTGCTGGACTGGACCAATCGTCCGTCATGCCTGGCATCCTGCCTCGGTTTTGCTCAGTATCTGCCATTTCAGAGGGAGGCTGAAAACCAAACCCAACCACCTGTGATCCAGGCAGCTCGTTGTGTATGAGGGCAGAAAGCCCTTTCATGAAGTCTACCGCAATTAGCTGACCTGCTGAAACGTGAGATTTGATTACCTCTGCCTTAGCATCTTCTTCCCAGGCGACGGGGAGTGAGGAAAACCTTTGTCTGTCCTCAGCTCTCGGAAGAACTTCATTGCTGGAGGATGCCTGGAATGGAGAGTGTCTGAACTGGATCCATGTGTTCTAACTGTGACACAGCAGGGCTGTATTGCAAACTTTTTTTCTTGTGCATCCCATTCCTTATCCTCCCAGTCTCCCCACCCTGTGTGTCCTCACTTTAGTGCTGGTGCTTCTGCTTCTAACCTCCAGCGTTTTGATAACCAACAGGTTGGCGGGACAAAAACGGGAGTTGTGCGCTATGTGGGCGAGACAGATTTTGCCAAAGGAGAATGGTGTGGAGTGGAACTTGATGAACCTCTAGGGAAGAATGATGGGGCAGTCGCTGGTACAAGGTACTGTATACGTGCGCTGTGCTCCAACTTGGGGTCTGAAAGGGTGCCCGAAACCTACCAATATAATGTGGAGTCCAAAAGCCAGCTGCTTAGGGTGGTCAAAGGAGGCAGAGCTAGAACTTATGCTATGAATTTAAGCAGGGGACATCTAGACTGTATATTGGGGGTTGGGGGACTATTCTAATGGTGAGGTCTTTAGACTGGGAAGTAGTTTCCCCAGGAAAGTGGTGGAAGTCCCATTACTGGAGTATTTTTAAACTTTTTAAAAGTTTTGAGAGAAAAGTTCGTTTGTTTATTTATTTTAAAGAAGAGATTCGTTGTTGGGTTTTCCCCCATGTCTGGTTTCTGTGATTCTGTGACTTTATTAAGACCACTCACCATCAGACGTTTCCGTCACAAATCCTTCACTTTCCCTAGTCTATGTATAATTCACCCTTTCCGCTTTCTACATAATAAGGACGTGAGATCGTCTCAACATGCTGGGCATCTCTTCTTACTGGAGGCGAGGCTTTTAATGAGCCCTGAATGAACAGTTCATTAAGTTATTGCTCCAGGCTTGTAGTGATTCTTAAGCATGGCATCTGTTTGCAGACTGAACTTACAACCCCTGAATCCATTCAGTGCCTTCTACAGCAGTGTAGCTTTCAGCAGGCATCTGTCTGCTGGTGAAGGGCAAAGCTGTGAAGTCGACCAGATCAGTTTGGCATTGGGTAAATATCAGAAAGGCAGCGTGCTCTTCCAAACTATCTCCAACTTCTGGGTCTGTGAAACTGGGCAGGAGAGCTGATGAGACTTCTTGCTGCAAACTGTGACCCCAAACCTCAGATCGTGAGTTACCCTGAACTTTGGGGAAGTTTGGTTCTGGGTTCTGGAACTCATGCTTGACTCGTGTGGAAATACAGTCAGAACAGACTCTCCAGATGCTACGGCAGGTCCATTAATGGGAATAGTGGTAGGGAACATTCTCAATCCTTTTAAACCTGATAAAGGTCAGGGTTTGGATCAATGTTTGGGTGGGTTCTCACAGTATCTGAAATGGTTCATTGATCCCTGGTGTTCACTCTAATTTTTCAGGTGTTGTGCAGAGTCCTATAAATCTTAGCACAGCCCTGATCTTTCTATTTACAGCTATAAATCAGTGACCAAAGGCAGTCTGACTCTGGTTAGTAAATAAGGTACGTGGGATAGCAACAGTACCATGAAACATTATTACTACGTCCGGGCTTCCTCGGGAAACCCAGCTATGGCAGAGGCTAGAGTGTAACTTCGAAAATAGCATGGAACTGCCAATTACTCAATGGGTCCCGGTTTCTGCAGCAGTGTCATTCATTTCTGGCAGCCTGGGTGTCTGCTGGCCACGAATCTTTATTTGAAACAGGAATGACTATGTATTGTCGCATGCCAGCATGAAGGCATCACAATAAACCAGCAAATGACTGGAAGCGGAGAGTCCCCGAGGTCCAGTCACGTCCCGAGGCGAAGGAGAGAAAGGAAGGGAGGATGCTGGAGGATGAGCTATGGAATGAATCCAGCCAGGTGCCTGCTCTCCATCACTCAGTGATAAAGTAGCTGCAGGTTTTATCTTCAGAGTGCCCCAAAGTAACTTGTTTTCTGTGTGGACGTAGAAGGTAAGAGAGGGGTGTATTGAGCGCAGGGCTCCGGGATTCTGCTACTGAGATCCAGTCCTGCCTCTGCCCCCACTTCCCACCCATTTGTAAGAGAAACTTGGTTCTGCCTCCAGCTCCCTGCTCGTTGTCAGGTTAGCCTTGCTCTGAGCAGGAATTCACCTTTCTGCTTTAAGACCATGATGCTGGGATCAGAGGTGGTTCAGGTAAGTAGGAGGCCCCCGGCAAAGCCAGTCACCGAGGTCTCCTGGCTGCAAGACTTTCTCCTCCGTCACTTGCAAACCCTGTGCCACGCTGTCAGATGTGGGGGCAGTTCAGTCCCACAGTGGGGAATAGCGAACAGGAGTGAATTAGGGGGCTAATAGGTGGAGATTTCAGTTTAAACAGGAGGAGGGAGGGAGGGGGAAATCTGTACTGTGCCATAATATAGGGGCAGGTCTCATGGGACTCACGCGAACCACAGAGCTCTTAAGCAGTACAATGTAGCCCCCCGTACAACACAGGCACATCAGCAGCAAACCTCCGGCTAATAGTTCAACCGGCACCCATTGGAGTGGGTCTCCCTCCCTCCTGTGTTCTGACTGCAGGTTTGGCAGCGTTGTCTCAACTGACCCTTGTAGCCCGAGCCGACCTTCTGCTTTTCTGCATGTCCCAGTCCTCGATGGCTGTGCTGTCAAAGCCGCTGAAAGCTGTGAGTTGCTCAGCGAAGCCTTTGGAGGAAAGCCGTCTTGCTAAAACACACACCTTTCGTTTTGCTGCTGCACCACAAAGGATGCCCTGCGCCAGCACTCAGCACCTGCCACGCTCCCTGTCCCCAACGCTGACCTGCCGGGGCGTCATTTTTAATGCGCTGGGCTTGTCCCAGCAAAATCCCAAAGTCCTGGGACTCAAGCAAGGGGGGGGGGGCAGAACGCTTGCTTTGGCTTTGCTAACTGTTGCCATCTAGTGACCGAGACACTCATCCTGGTTTGTTTTTCAGGCCATTGCTGGGTGAATTTCTATTGGTCTTTGGGTGGCGTGTTAGCATGGCTGACGCTGATCAGACATGTGATAGCACCATGCTGTTTTCTGGTGGTTTCTGGGCCAGGGTGACCAGATGTCCCGATTTTATTGGGACAGCCCCGATTTTTGGGTCTTTTTCTTATATAGGTTCCTATTACCCCGCAGCCCCATCCCAATTTTTCACACTTGCTCTCTGGTCACCCTATTCTGGGCTCACTCTGGCTCTGTGCATGTCACGAGCGGTCTCCAAAGAAGGCCATTGTCCCTGGGGAGCTGAAGACAGTAGACTGGCAGGGCGTGGAGATGAAGGGGTGGTGCTGCCCTCTTTTGAAATCTGCCACTGCTGGAAGAGCAAAACCTGAGAGAGTGGCACTCTGGGGAGATGGGAAAAGCGAGTGGAAATGCCTGGGAGTGCTGTAGGTGTGTGCAAAGGGTGCTTGGAGCCTGGTGCTTGGCTCTGGCTGCCTCCCCTGAGAGACAACGCCGTGGGGGCAGCTGTGAAACATTCCAAATGGGGTCATTCTGGCACAGCTCCAAGTGCTCCGGGGCTGTCCCAGGTGGCGTGACGGGGTGGTCCTGGCTAGCCGGGGGAAGGGCAGGGCCGGTGCACCTGAGGGGGAGCACAGAGTTTAAAGTTGTCGTCCCCTGGCGAAGGGCAGTGTCCGTCCCACCTGCTGCCCTGCACTGGGGACGAATGCCCGCACTGACAACACTGTCCTTGTAGCTGCGCAGGGCTGCTGGGCACGTACCCAGTATTCACAAAGCAATTACCAGATGGAAGCTGCCGCACGAGGGCCCAGCATGTAGCGTGCAGCACCGTGGAAGGGCAGAGTATTGCTACACTGTGCCTGCCTCTCTTATGTCTTCGCACTGGTGTAATCCCATTGACCTGACGGGAACTGCTTGTGATTTGTACTGGTATATCCGAGAGAAGAATCTGGCCCATTATTTTCCCACCTGGGAAGCAAACTGACAGTCCATTAATTCACCAGCGTTTGTATTTGTCTTTACCTGCTTCTCTTTTCCACCCGCACTGTTCTGTGACCCTCAGTTACCTTTACTCACACTCTTATTTCCATTAGCAATTTTCATAGTCTCCATTTCCCCCCCTTTTTCCCGGTGCAATCTTTCATTAATGAAGACTAAGAGACTACTAGTGCTGCCAATGAAGGGCGTTACTCCTTAGACTCAAGTGGCAGAGGTCTCTACTTTGGATGCCAAAGGCCCTAGGTTCAAGTCACTTCATCTTTCTGTGCCTCAGTTTCCCCATATGTAAAAGGAGGATTATGTTACTACCTCCTTGGAAGTTCTCTGATATCTACTGGGGGAAAGTATTATGTAAGTCCTGGGTATTATTTTTACTGATGACCTGTGGAGAAAGACGGTGTTCCAGCTACAACCCCTTACAAGTCAGACATCCTTTAATAGTGACTTGCAGTCACTACCAGTCTGGACCAAAACCAAGCTAGCAGACTAGTGACGGTGGGCTCTGTATTCTGTTACCAGCCCTCCCATGCATAGCTTATTGTAACAGCGTGACGCTGAGCAGGGCTTTGGCTCGTCTGCAAAAGCCACGTTGCTTTTCCTCCTTGGTTCCCCAGTCTGCAATGAGGTCAGCCCTAAGCAGTGATCTTCTCCAAGGCCCAGGGCCTGCCTGGCAGCCAGCGGAAGGGACGAGTGGTGGGTTGTTTTTTAAGTTGTTTTGAAAAGATTGGGCTTGAACAGATGCTTGCAAATGAATCATTTTCTCCTCTGGATGGAGAACAGGCTGTTCTGCAGCCTCCCATATACATAGAATCAGCCTGTGACAGACACGCATGCTTCTGCCAACGTTTACAAGCCAGTTCACAAACGGAAGGCGATTTTGGAACGGCTGTTCACATCTGGAGAAAGCCGACGTCGTGTGCCAGTAAAGCTAATACTTGGTTAATATTCGTATCCATATTGGTCTTGTGTAGTAATTGTTAATCATGATTAGTCACTATTTTATGTACAGGTGGGATAGGTTTTACTCCATCGTTTCCTGCCAGTGGCTCATTTTCAGCATTAGGAGACGACTCCCAAACCAGACTGTATCGTCTCCCTTGGCTACTACACTGACACCAGAGAATGTGACACGCACAGGCTGTCTGGTTTCAATTGCTGACCTGCAGCAGGTCAATGACAGCTTACCCATGGCTTGTGCAGATCAAGCCGTGCTCCAAAGAGGCCCCAAGTTTCTGACAGTGTGGGTTTCTGGCACCCACGTGCGGAATGGGGCCCCCAAGTGAGACGTGCCTTAATCTCTCGCCAGCATCAGGATCAGCCCATGGTCCTTCTTCTAGAGTTGAAGTAACTGCAGAAATGGGATTGCACCTGAACGTGCCCATCCCCTTGTCTCCATTGTGGCTCTTGTTTTGGTATTTTCCTTCTTCATTTATCTGCATCAAAATCATCATCTTGTCTTCTCGTTTCCTTTGTCTTCTTGCTCTGTCTTCCTTACCTTCAGTAGCCCCACCTGGAGAGTCAGTGATGAGACAGAGACAGCCCATTCTGCATGGAGTGTTTTGATTGGGAAATGTAATAGGGCGGTTGCTTCCTGAGCCATCCCCTCTGGCCAGAGTTCCTTAGCAGCAGCCTCCCTCCTGTTCTCCCTCTTCAGGGCCCCCTTACAGAGTCCCCACAGCCTTTCTTGTCAATCCTCCTGTCCTCCGCTCAGGGCTTCCTCCCACCAGATGTACCTCTGCAATGCTGCCTCAACCTAACCCAGGCCAAAGAGCACCTGGAGGGATGCACATGTTCTCCTGGTGTTCATACATGTGAATCTTGGCCCTGCCCTGGCGGACAGAGTTTAGAGTGCAGGAAGCTTTGGATTGTTTTGTGGAGTCATCTCAGTGGACGGAGTTGGGTTGGAAGCAGGGGGCAAGGGAAATTATTTTGTAGGCCCAGCCCAGCTCCCATTTGCTGTGAACTGAAAGCAAGTAGTTTTCTGTTCTGGGTTTGGTTCAGTTCTGAATAGGCAGCTGTGAGGCATCTGGAGCAGGGGAAAGGAGAGCCAGTGCCTTTCCCTTAGGACAACGTGGGTAGTAGGTTTTTTTTTTTTTTTTTGACTACAGACATCTGGGATCCTGCACAAGTCACTCTGCTCCTGAGTATATATTGGAGGAAGGTCACCTCTATCTCATTCTTTAAAAAAAAAAAAAAAGTCATATCTTCTCTCATCTTCTCCTCCTTCCGCCTCCCCATATGGCAAACCTCTGTCATCACCTAACAGTGCTGAACTGGAGTGATGTACCAGGCAGAAAAGAGAGCTGTGGATGGTGTCACTTAAACCAGCCCACATTAACCAAGTCCACAACACTCATCTTTCCTTTCCTCCTTCTTTTTTTTTTTTTTTTTAAAGGGTACATTATCTGGCTAAACAGACTAGCAAAACCAAAATGTCTTTACCTGTGTGACTAATAAAACCCTACATTGCCCAGGGAGGCTGATACAATTCAAAGGCCTCTTCTCATTTGCACTAAAGCTCCTTTCCATGCTCTGGATGTGCAAAAGGGCCTTAGTGTGGGTGTGAATTTAATTTACTTTCACCTTACGGTTGCTTTGCACTGTCAAGTTGGTATAAAGGGGCCTCAGTAGACATGAGAATTTGGCCCCCTCCTGTGGTTTGATGCTTGTTTTTTGCCCCCCTCACTCACTAAGTGTGCACAGTGAAATCCGACTGGTCAATGTCACTTTCATAGATTTCAAAGTCAGAAGGATCGGCTAGTCTGACCTCCTGCATAACAAAGGCCAGAGTCCTCCCCCATAATAATTCCTGTTTGAACTAGAATCATTACTGATTAACTTCAAGCTGTGTCAGGGTTACAAACACTCCGGGATGAATGTTTAAAACCAAAAACACAACAACTCTCCACCCTGTTTTCACCGACATTAAAAATATGATATAATATAATACGTAGGTCACTGCAAACGGGGTTTATGTTTTGCTTTTGGATATATTCGCTACTGTGAATTTTTGTTTGTTTGTTATTTAAGCAAACCTATATTTTGGGCCTGTCTTTCCAGAGAGTGGGCCCTTAACTGCCTCCCCCAAAACACTGGAAAAGGGGAAGACTCTAACCTGTTCTACGCATGGAACCCATAATGCCACAGTGTTGGCGAGGAGACTGTTAAATCCTCTGTAATTCCCGATTCATAGTCTCTGCATTATGATAATCTAATGTGACCTCCTGTATACACAGGCTGTAGAACATCTCCCAGAAGTTGGGTATCATTGGTTGGACTCCCAGCTCTGACTGGGTGTTGCCCAGTGTGGGGGTGGTATAGGTGGAGACAATACCCTTTCTGACATTCTCTCTTTCTCCTGCTCCAGGTATTTTCAGTGCCCCCCCAAATTCGGCCTCTTCGCTCCCATTCACAAGGTGATCCGGATTGGGTTCCCGTCCACCAGCCCTGCTAAAGCAAAGAAGAGCAAACGGATGGCCATGGGAGTGTCAGCCTTAACTCACAGCCCCAGTAGCTCGTCCATCAGCTCTGTCAGCTCCGTGGCTTCCTCTGTCGGTGGCAGACCCAGCCGGAGCGGATTGGTGAGAGAACCTTTTCATGCACTGGGCAATTCGGGCCTAGATCTCTTCTGCTCTGACTCCGCAAAGTGGTAGGGCTCATATTAAGCATGTTAGCAGGTGCATTGGTGCAGCTACTACTGCTCAGTCAGCCAAGAAATGGGAAGTGCGGGGGAGACTGTGACTAATCTTAGCTTCCCTCCCCGCCTTGGATGGTGCTATAACCGATTCCCTGAGCATTTGTGGTCATAAAAGATCCCAGGACACTATTTGCGGAGGGAGGGGCACTGACTGTGATGTCATGTCCATGGATAATTATATTCTGCCTTCTTAAAATGCCATCTTGATTGCGATATTTTTCATTTCCGGTCCTAAATGGTTGCATAGCATTGCCTTGTAGTATTTAACAGCTGCTTCCTTCCAACTTCAGAGGTGGCCACATTTTGTTGTTGTGGGAAAGAATTCCTATGAATTGTGTGCCTAATGCTTTGGGGTTCCCTGGAGAAGACAGGCACTATGGGAATGCAAAATATTATTATTAAAAGCTCTAGCTATAGAATATACAGGGCGATCAATGTGGACCACTATCATCTGGGCTGAAGTAGAGAAGGACAAACAAGTGTCCGCCACGGGGAGTGGATCCAACTTTCCCATACTTGCCGTCCAGTGGAGAACAGCCCTGGCAGCTGAGCTCATTTCGTTTGGGAGTTTCTTCGGCGGCTCTCATAAATAAAACGTGTTTGGGAAGAGAGAGCGGTTGTTCTTTAAAAGTTCAAATTGTGATCTTCACAGCACTCATCACACCCCCTTAGCCCTGTTCCTGGAGAACTCCCTTCCCATCACTGCCCAGAAGAGCTCTCCAGTCCGAGGGAGCTGGTCTGCAATCTCATTCCGACTAGGAACCTCACCCCACCCCTTCCAACTAGGCCATGAACTCCCAGCTCCAGAGAACGCAGCGTCTGGGGGCTACCGGATCAGTGGATTGAGCTGCACTCTAGCTCCAAAGGGGCGCTGTGTGTGTGCGCAATCGCTCTGTCTGTCTGGTGAACGCTGCTTGCATGGGGGGGAAGAGCACAGCGACAGACCCTTCACAGCTTAACTCTTCTTTCTAGCTGACGGAAACCTCCTCTCGCTATGCCCGGAAGATCTCCGGGACTACCGCCCTGCAGGAGGCACTGAAGGAAAAGCAGCAGCACATTGAGCAGCTGCTGGCAGAGCGAGATCTGGAGAGAGCGGAGGTTGCCAAGGCCACCAGCCACATCTGCGAGGTGGAGAAGGAAATTGCCATCCTGAAGGCCCAACATGAGCAGGTAAAGCATGTGGCAAAGGCAGGGCCAAAAACCCTTGCACTATCTCAGACCTTCCCTGCTTCGGGCTCCACCCTTAGCTTTAAGCTCGTCTGCTGGCAGTTGTTCAGGCCAATTGCATATCTGCAGCTCAGCCCACGAAATTGAAGCCCCTACAGCTTGCCATTAGACAGAATCTGGGTTTGGTGCCGGTGGAAGACATTGATGTAATCGCCTTTCATGCTGATGTAACTGTGTCCATTCCAGGAGGTTTCACTGTTACCTACATTGGTGTCTAGATTCTTGGTCTCAGCTTAGGCCATTTTGTGTTGCTTTGCGCACAAAGCAGCCAGACAGCTGACTAAGTGGTGCGACAGGGTTCTCCCATCACTGATTCTTGCTGCCTGCTCTGCTGGCTCCACATTCAGGGTGGGAAGCATGGAGAGACAGAGCACATAGTATCCCTGTAAGCGTCTCTCTAATCAATAATGCTTAATCAATAGTGGTGAAGACTGGAGTGGCAGGAGCCCATCTGCTGGTGAAAGGGGAATTTGTTCTCCTTGGGTCATTCGCTCCATGGTCTCCATGCTGAGGCTACCAATCAGGGATTGTATTCCCGTGATTCTTGCAGTGCCACCAGGTACTGAACTAAATGAATAGCCCCCAGTTGTGAGTAACGTTTGGTCACTACCAGCACTGGGCGAAGAGTCAGGAAAATTGTGCAAGGACATTTGCACAAAAGTTAAACATGTTCACTCCCCTTTTTTCACAAGCATTTGTGCATATGGTGTTTTGTTCACATTAAATTGTATGTGTTGGAAGTGCATAAACTCTTATTCACAGGTGGACAGGAGTGTTTACTCTAGTATGGGCACTGGCTATTCAGATTTATAAAACTTCCATTGTCCACTCAGGAAGCAAAAACAATACCATGTGCCATAGCTGTCCAACCACATGCCAGTCAGACAGCCCCCAGAGCTTGAAAACTGTTTGCATAAAGCGTTCATCAAACAATTGCCAGTAACAAATTGATTCATAAAAATCAGTCTCTTCGTAGCTAGCTAAGGAGCAGAAAAAAGGGCTAAAACTGTCAGATAAGTTGTTGACTCAGCGCTAGTTACTGCCAGCCTGGGCTCTGTTTAATTTGGTGACCTAGGGCCAGATTTTCAAAAGCGTTCTGGGCCAGGTCTCACGTGCTCAGAATGGCTATCTGGAGTCAGGTTTTCAAAAGGGCACAGTACCCAGCAGACTCCTATGTGCTGAGCTCGTTGGAAAATCTGGTCCCTAGAGATGAAAGCCTCCATACATATCATTTATAACCCCCCCGAGCTATCCAGTTCAGTCCCCTGTTAAGCTTTTAACAACTGTGTATTGCAAATGTAACTGGCTGGCTGTGGGGTGGGATTTTCTTTTGTTACAGTATGTCACAGAGTCAGAGGCGAATCTCCAGCGAGCACGGACCCTGGTAGATGGGGTGCAGAAGGAAAAGTTGGAGCTGCTGAACCAACTGGAAGAGGAGAAAAGGTAACGTAGTAAAGGGGGAATGGGGTGGGAATAGGAAATGTGTAAAAACAGCAGAGGTAATATAACAACATGGTAAGTTGGAGGGAGTGGGGAGACAGGCCATGGTAGTTCATTGGTGCATTTTCCTTGCCTTAGATGATGATGCCTAGCTCTTACATTGTGCTTTTCAGAATGTATCCTGGACTCTGGGAGCTGCTTGGCTCCCTGATTTCAGTGCATGTCAAATGCGCTGGGCTTTAGCTGGCATTGGCGTTGTTGTTTGTGTGGGCAGCGAGTAGGTGGTGTGGAGACCGGGGAAACAGATGAACAATGTGAGTGCAGTAGATGGCAATGGAAATTCGTCGTGCCCAGCTGACTGTAGTTAACATATCAAACCATTCAGGCCTTCTGTCCAAAGAGGATTATCCAGAAAGGTGGCTGAAGTGCTACGGCTAATCACAATAGAAAGGTAGTGTTTGGTAGGCTAGAGTTCCTCGCTCCTTTGCCTAGCAATGTTTAGAGGAGACTTGAAATGGGACCATTACTTGTATCCCCTGTCGCGTCCAAAACACCAGTGCTATTTCTCTTCCTGTGTTACGTGTACGCGGCCAAATCAGCTCAACTGCTGCTTTGAATGTAAAGAAATCTGAAGCGGAAAGTAATCTATGAACATCGAACTAGAAGAGCCCGGCTAGGTCACTGAGTCCAGTCCCTGGCTATCGCAGTCATCCTGTCCTACAATCCCATTCATAAATGTATCAAGCTCCATTTTTAAATGGATTGGGTTGTTTCCACACTACTCCTGTTGGGAGGCTGTTCCCGAACCTCACTCATATGAGGGGTACAAACCTCCTCCTAATTCCCAGCCTCCGTTTATTGCTGGCCAGTCTCTTTCCTGGACAGATAAAGATATGGGATACTTCGCACTTAGGAGACTGATCGTTCTGGTTCTCGTCCAAGAAGACTAGTGTGATTAGAACCACTTTGTTGCTGTTTAATATAGGTTGTACTTAGGACAAAACACGCTATCAGCCGCCACTCACAGCCATCAGCTCTGAAGTGCCGACAGTCCCAAGATTACATTATTCAATATTCAGCAGGACACCGGCACTTCAAAGAACGTTTGCCGGGTTCACTGACTGGACTCAGGGTGCACGGAAAGCCGCAGCAAATGGATTATTAACAATACTACACAAAAGGGCATCGCTCTCCCACCAGCCGGTGAAGTTAGTCAGAGCGCTGCTGCCGCCAGAGCCCTTACACGGGCAGGGGATGGGTGTCAGAGGTATTAGCCTGAAGGAAAAAAGCATTTGAGGAGACATTTGGTCCACCAGGTACACCTCTACCCCTATATAATGCGACCTGATATAACACGAATTCGGATATAACGCAGTAAAGCAGCGCTCTGGGGGGGGGGGGCCTGCGCACTCCAGCGGATCAAAGCAAGTTCGATAGAATGCAGTAAAGCAGTGCTCCGGGGAGGGGGGGGAACAGAGCTGTGTGCTCCGGCGGATCAAAGCAAGTTCGATATAATGCGGTTTCACCTATAACGCAGTAAGATTTTTTTGGCTCCCGAGGACAGCGTTATATTGGGGTAGAGGTGTATCTTTGGTGGAAGAGTGACCAATTGAGGGTGTGCTGTCTGAGACCCAGTAAACCTAACAGAACAGTGCACCCCAGCGTAATGAGACTATCCAGTTGAGTGCTGGGTGGACCATGTCTTATTTTCAGTAGGTCAGTACTGGGAACGGGGTGTCTTCCTCTAGATGGCTGGTGATGAGGCTGTCCGTGGTACTGCACCGAGATGATGTGCTAAGGAGTGCACAGACAGGTTCCCTTGCAGTTATGTGGAAATGGCAAATCTTCTGCTGCTGCAGGGTCCTGTCAGTGTTTGAGAATTAGCAGCATGTGACTTCTAGTTCCTTGAGGTTGGCAAGAGACAAAGGTTAAGACTCTGCCAATATTTCTAATAGCCACTCGATACTGCAGGGCTTTGAGAGCCGTCTACTGCGGGAAGGGGAGGGGCGACCTGAGCCGGCTGTCCCCTTGGAAGCACAGAGGGATACAGCAGGATGCTGTATTATGTTGCCAGCATCTTTGTCTTCTCCAGTGTGTTTTTGGAGACAAACCATTACAAGCTGAAGCCTTTGGGGGCAGCGAGGCTGGATTATCCTCACAGAGAGAGAACAGCCGAAAGGAGAATGAATCACAAATCGCTTCTGGATTGTGCCCTGACAATGACCATAGTCATTTATGGCACTGAGTGTGCTCCAACTAATGCTTTAAGGTGGTGGGATTGAAGCATCTTTAAACAAATCGGGCAGTCAGCAAAGCCTTCCTCTGAAATATCAGGGTTAACATATTTTTTGCAAAAAAACAACAAGGAGTCCGGTGGCATCTTAAAGACTAACAGATTTATTTGGGCATAAGCATCTGAAGAAGTGAGGTGTTT